TCGCTTTCAAATCGTAGAGATTGTTAATAAAAATTTGTAAGTTTTATTAAATCTGAAATAAAAATAGCATTGCCAAACATTATATATATTTTTAGTCCAAAGGGGCTTTGTCCCTGAAGGACTATAGTTTTCGTTTTGCGATTTTGCGTCGGAACTCTATAAACAGCGTATCACTTTTAAAATCGTTGCCACTAAATACTATCGCCCTGTATTATATTTGAAGAAATTAAATAATGAATAATCTGAATAAATGTATGGTCGCAGCTAGCAATTTTGTATACAATAAATTCATTTTATTTTCAGTTTTTCAGTACATAGAACTTATAAATATTACTTTGGCCGTAGCCCGCTAGTCCTTTATAAAATCAAAATGCTGACATTAAATAAAGGTTAGGATCTATATTTTAGGAAACAGACATACAGTTATCATTTCCTAGTATGCTGTATAATAAAATAAAACGATCCTGTAACACGAAACTTTTTGCGAACATATATTTTTCTCAGTTGTGCTATCTGTTTATATATCATGTAATTTGCTTAGGTAATAATTCGTTTCCGAAATCTGCTTGTGTTCATTCGGTTTACAAAATATACAAAAGAAAGCACAACTTCTTCAAAAACACCGCATTCTTTATTAAATTTTTCTCGATCACACCTCTCTCATAATGCTGTTATATTTCCTTCTTTAATAATTTTTTCCCCACCTAAATGACATTTGAAGTAAGAGAGTTGTAATTTGCTTAGGCTTTTGAACAGCTCGAGAATCATTTCCCTTTTATTGCATATATACTATATATTTTCCATTTTATAGCCTGTAGCTCTTTATTTGTTGCTGCTAATATTCACCATTCTAGCAGCTTTCGTGAATCTGGCATTTCATCCCATACACCTATGCTTACGCGCTGGGAAATTACGGAAACTTGGGTCGTTAGAAGAGAGATAAATATCCCTTCATTAGAGAGCCATACGTTATGTGTAAACACGAGTCATTCCAGGCCCTGGCGGTGGAGAGTGGCATGTGCGAAACTGACTCGATTATGCAAATGAAGAACCCTGCGGGTTAACTCGCTGCACCTGATACTTCGTTTGGCTGCCCCCAAAAACACCACGGAACAGCATACAATCTTATAGCAAGCCTACGGAAATCCTACATTCTAATGAATCGTCGTGTTTTGTTATTGTTTCTTGCGCTCGCTTTCGGTTTTTGGATTGCCTTGTTCTTTTACATGTTAAGAAGAAAACAAGTGGAGGGGGTAGAGATGTTTTCTTTGCAGTAAGAGATTCGGTCAGGTTTCTTCTTGAACTGCACCCCGCTGGGAGCAGAATGAATTTCCGTAGTGAGCTGTGCTTCTTTTTGTTTCTCACGTTCGGTGAGAGTTCCATTTCGGATCAGCATTTTTTCCGCACTCCCCGAAGAGGAATGTTTGAATTTGGCAATCTTGAGTAAGGAATCTGTTCAACTGTGTTGAAAAGATTATGGTGTTTTATGTACCCTCTAAATTTCATTTCACAAGTAAAATTAATGCAAAGTCAATTTGCAATATTATAGGAAACTTGATTCAGTTTCTATAAATACAAAGCAAATAAAAAAAAAATTTCTATAAATAACAAAGCAAAAAAAAAAAAAAAAGAGTTTGAAAAATTTAGCCTGCATTCGGCAATAATTATCTATTGCATTTTAAGTGAAAATTAGATGTGAATCTCTTTATCAATAATCACGGCAACAGGAGAAACTTTCTCAGCCTTTTTTTTTTTTTTTTTTTTTTTTTTATATATATTTATTTTATTTTTTTTTTATTTTTAATTCAAAGCTAAGCTGAGGATGAATACTGCATAATTTTAAAGATTAATCATCCGTGGCTATGTTAATTGCAGATGTCTTCTATTTTCTTTATGTTGTCTATTTGAATGCATTTTTTTCTCTTTTTTTAGCCCAAAGGAGGGCTATTAGTCTCGAAACGGCATATTGCGTCGGTTAACTATAAAGGGCGCATCACGTTTTTAATCGTTGCCACCAAATATTATCGCCCTGTCATAATACAGGGAAGATCCAATCCTGTTAGTCCCACTGGACCGTATGATTATAAAGGGTCGACCCCCTCAAGACCACAAAAGGAAAGAAAAGAGAAAAAGAAGCTAATTAACTAAAAATAATTGGAGGTTAATTAACGAACTAAAAATAAGGAAGAGACATACAAACAACGAAGCACAACACCAAACATTCAAAATCCAAAAACAATTAAGAACCCCACGGGCAAACAGAATGTCGGAAACTCTCAAGAAACATTCATTCACATGAATTTTCGGAACAGGCACAGGCGGTCCAAAGCCATCGAGGAATTCCCAATTTAAATAACCTGCAGAAGTTCAAACCGAATTCCCTACAGTATTAATTTTTTGGTTTAATTTATTTGACATATTTCAGATAAAAGACTTTAGAGCTATCAGGTGCGACTATGTACTTTTAACGGAATTAACAGTTCGTTTTCTAAGAACGAGCTTTCAAAATTGTAATAATTTGACGAGTTCTCTTATAAAGTGAATTCCAGGTGCTTAATATTGTATTTTATATTAAATTCTTGCTAAACGATTCCTTTTTTATGACGAAGCAGCCATATAAAATAAATTTAAAACTTCTTAAGGAGTAACATAAACAAACTAAAATAATAAAATAAAACTTCTTTATTGAATAATTTAGAATTAATGAATAAAATTCGAGTTAAGGAACCTAAAAATGAAAACAATAAAGTTTTTTAATAGGATCTTACTTAAGAAGATAAAGTGTAGATATGAGAACGTCCGCCATTATAAGTGTCAATATATTTGCTCTAATAAAGCTTAAAAATCGCGTAAGATAAAGGAGAACTTCAGAATTTATAAGTTAAAAAAATTAAGGATGCGATAAAATTATGAAATATAGTTTTTGATTTTTATTATATTTTCTGTAACCTTTATGTTTCTGAAGGACCAATTAACCTTTACGTTATGCCATAAAAATGAACTTCTGCACTTTTATCTCGAGTTTAATTTACGTGTCTTCCAGCGGGGAATAAAAGAATAAAGTATTCAGTATGGCCTTTAATGGGTGCACTATTAAGCTACCGGTTGGAAGATGCTGCTGCTGTTTGAAAATATGCAGTTGTGTACACGCCACTTAGACAGTATGCCCATGAATAAAGAAATACACCGTATGTATTTGTAACAAGAGAGTATAATAACAGTTAGACCTTTCATGAATACAAAGGTAGAACAAGCTGAAATGGAATTTGGGTTGCATTTCGTCAACAGACAGCACTAATTGCAACAACTCCCATAGAGAGGTTCTGAATACTTTAAATATGACATTGCTTTTTCGTTATGAGTTTAAGTGTTTTAAATAATCATTTGTATAAACCTATTTGCTAAATAATATAAAAAGAAAATCTGAAATGTTTCAAATTTAAAATTATGTCCGAAGGAGCGTTTTTTAAACACTTTGTGTGTTACATTTATTAATTAAATATCACGTTCTTCGCACTTTCAACATAAAATTCAGTTCAACAGCAATATCGCAAAATAGTTTATATCATATCATATCTTTAGAATTATCTTTAGAATCAGCATATCTTTAGAATTTCCGATACAGAGACTCACGCGCTGGAGATAAAAATGTGTTTTCTGTACAACGTTGCCATGGCTCGCTTTGAAATCCTTGAGTTTGTTAATCAAAAATTTGTTAAAGTTTTACAAAATAGGAAATTGATAATAAAGCAAATTCCAAATTTCATATTTGGTCTTCCACATGCCCATATTCGTAGGAGGATTACGTCATTCAAAATTCGATGGCTGTATGTACCGTTGTTTTAGCACAATGCGAGAAATATACAAACATTTATGCAGATTTTTCATTATTTAATTTCTTTAAATATAACACAGAGCGATAATACTTTGTGGTAACAGTTTAAAAAGTGATTCGCCGTTTGTAGTGAATCGATGCAAAATCGCAAAACGAAAACATTAGTCATTCAGGGAGAAAGCCCCTTTGGACAAAAAATAAAATATCTAACATGACTATCTTGACTATAACTATCTGGACTTGCGGGCGGGTGATAAAGGAAAAAAGTGAAATTATTGCGGCTTACATTAATGGAATCGACATTGCGTAAAATCGACACCGACGTATGATTGACACGATAAAAAAGAAATTTTGATAATGATATAATGATGAGGGGTTAATGCACATTAATTTTTTTCATATAAACTATAACGATTAGCACACTAATCGACATTACGTAGGATCGACACCTTCATACTATTAACATAGCACATGATTTGCATTGGCATGCTGTTGATTTAGCATAGTGTTGGCAAGGCTTATAATAAAGAACAGCGCAACTACTACTCTAGAATAAAATTCATACATCGACGTATAATCGACAAAATAAAAAGTGCACCCACCGTAAAATAACACCGTAAAAATACACCGACGTCGATCATACACCAACGTATGATTGACACGATAAAAAATAAGTATTGATAATGATATAATGATGAGGGATTGACGCACATGATCACTTGCGCAGAATTGTCATAAGCACATTATCGACATTACGTAGGATCGACACCGTCATACTATTGAATTAGCAGAGGATTTACACCGGCATGCTGTTGATATTACTATAGGGTTGGCAACGCTTATAATAAGCAAGAGCGCAACTATTAATCTAGAACAAAATTTAAAAAAAATATGTATATGTATATGCTCGTATACAGACTGTTTATTTTCCTTTTCTTCCTCTTGCAAGCTAAATTCTTAACTCTGGAATAAAAGTAAATTTTAAAGTTATGTGTCTTGTATGTCTGTGTGTGCATATATATATACATGAACACAGACATACACATGCACGTAAAAGCCATACAACGGTCAGTAAGAGGATTAATATATGTAGTCTTAATATGACTCTTTATATTTTTATTTCTTCCTATGACTGTGCGAAAATAATTATCTATTTTACCCACAGGCCGAGTGAAGTGGCGATGTGATTCTGTAACCGTACAATGGATTGAGTCTCCAGATTTCAGTGACTGTAGCTCTCAGTGGGTGGAAAATATCAAGTACAGAGTAAGTTTCCCCCTTTTTTCCCTCTCTTTTTTGATCCCCAAGAGTCTTTTAGTATGGGAAACCATTCAATTGTAACTCAAAATTCAACGACAAAAATTCGCGGATGAGTGATTTAAACACACTTCTTTTAGTGATGGCAAACTTTGCTCACGGGATAAAATTGATATGACAAAAATAATCTACTGCGATAGAAAGTTACATCACGTTTGTATAATTTTTCCATTCTGTTACGCTTGCTGTGTATGAAATATGATATTATAATGCGAAAAGTTATTTCTCTCTAATATGAATACCGTAATCATGTAACTGTTATTTTGCATGTGAGCATGTTGTTTTAATAATTGAGACAAAAATATTTATCAAATGAGTTTCCTCGATACAGATAATATGGAATTCGATAAATAACGAATATGGTAAGTGTATAATATGCATTAAAATGAGTGTGATTTAAAAAATATGTAATTATATAAGTATCTGGTATGGATATGATGACATTTTACCATAATAATATAGTGAAATAGCTTAGAATTTTGAGCGTCGGTTATTCGTCTTCAAACCCATTTATTTCAAATCTACTCTTACTACACTTTGTTTTTCAGAACATTCTGAATGATATTTTCAATGGAAGAGTTTTGTATTAAGATTCACCACTGAATGCTTTTAATGACTTAATTTTTTTATTTTAGAGGAACTGTTAAATATTTTCGTACATAATAATTCAATATTAAAATCTGTTATCAAGGATTTATTAGCTTTCAGGCAGATACATTAGCACTGTTCTAATTCTAGTTAAAATTTTTCGTAATAAAGCAGAGTAACTGAACAAATATTTTTTTCATCGTCAAAAAATATTATTGTGGTTAATCTGTTGTCTGACCTCATCAGAACAAACCCGTGAAATTTATCTTGGCAAGAAGCACAAGATTACGCCTGTCGTTGGCAACAGCCTTAAGCACCATATAGATGACAGTATGAATTTACTCAGTTCCACCCCAACTTTAAGGGAGAGCACCCCAGGGGGTGGATCCGAGGGTCTCTTATCCCTCTTCTCCTACCACCAAACTACACGAGAGAACTTTCGGCTAGCCATATATTTAGTGTGTCCTTATTGAAATGTTTAGTGTAAACTATGCTTTTTCCTTTACAACACTTTACATATTTAGATTATCCCCATTTTCCATGCCGCAAAGACACTATGCTTTTTCTTTACAATACTTTACAACATCCATGCTTTTTCCTGGATTCAAGTCCGGGCCTTTGGTGCGGTAATCAGAGAGTCATCAACCACTATCCCGTTTGGACAACTCAGAAATTGTAAAAAGTGCAATAAAATCAGATAATCAAGTCAAATTATTTGAAATCGTGCATTAGCGGTGAACAGTTTCGGATAATTTAATTTGTTATAGGACCTGTGTGTAGAGTAGATTCTGATTGTATCCTAGTGAAAGCCAGTGGTGTTACATATGCTAATGGAATTAAGACTTTTCGAATGTAGGAAAGTTTATAAGGTATTTCTCCCGCATTTTTAACATGTCTTCGTAGTGTAGTGGTCGGCACGCTGGGTACGTATTCCAGAGGTCCGTGGTTCGATTCCTGGCGAGGGCGTTGCTCATTTTTCATCTCTCCTGCTTCCAATTAACTTAATGTACCTACAAGTTCTTTGCATTCATTGTAATTGACGTAAACGTTTTCTGTCCTAAGTCAAAACAATTATTTCAGATCAGTCTACAAAAGTCAAATCAAAACAATGTAATCGCTAAATAACAGATACGATGCAGATTTTTTTTTTTTTATGTCTCGAGATGGTAAAAGCATCTTCTCAATGAATGGTGATCCTAAATTCGTACCCTAGTCGCGATATGAAATAGCCCATACAAGGTATTTTTATTCCAATTATTATGCAATTTATTTTTATGCAAGTTTGTACTTGCATGATAATGAGTTTTGAACCATGTTATGAATCTAGCAATGCCATACTTATGTTGAAATTTTCAAAACTTTATTGCTTAGCAGCTCTTTTAAGCACGGTTTTTGGCAGTATTCAAACCGTTTCTGAATGAATTAGAACTTCTTTTAATGGTTTCTAAATTTCTTTATCTTGCTGAACTGCATTTTTAACGTGAATTTTAAATCATCTCGATAACTATCTGAGATTTGAGCAAATGTGTGTTATGGATACTGAAAAACGAAATCTGGATTTCAAAGCGGAAGGAAAAGAAAAATGTTAAAAGAAAAAAGGATGCGTGCACACAATTTAATATTGAAAGTGTGTTTTCTATTCCCCAAAGAACGTCATTTCTGCTGAATTTTTTTATCATCTCCTTTATCTTTTATTTCCTAATCTGATAAAACTGTTCACTCTGCGATAAATTTAATTCATTCCTTTCAAGACGATTAAATCTTTCTTTCTTGGAAACGGTAATGTTTATCTTTTCGATTATTGATTCTCGATTTTATTTTATTTCTTCCATTTTTAAATTTTTCTCACTGCTTCGTGTATGTTATCTTCGCGCACAGCTCTATATATTCGGAATGAGGAGAGGGAGGGAAGGAAGAGAAAAAAAAATCATTCCTCTCTGTCACATACTGACTTGGGAAATTTTTACTTTTATTATTTAGCTCTTATTTTTGCTTTGAAAAATAAATTAAAAAAACATTGGAGCTTTACTGAAGTTAAAATGATTTCGGATCTGAGCGTTTATGATGATGGCGTGGAATCCCCCCCTTTACTATCTATTTAAATTTGTTTATTATTCCATTTTCCTCTAGGGTGCTGTGTGTAATAAAAACTCTTCTTGATATTAGAAGAAAGGAATTAAAGTGAAATTCTTTTACGCCTGTGGGAATATTTCAAATCTCACTCTCTCTCTTTTTTTATTATTAATTAGTTGCTTTGAAACCTCGTAATGTTCCAGATTTTAGAAGGAGAGGAAAAAAAAAAGAGTTCAGGAACGAAAACTGTGCTCTTTACTGCCTGTTTATAATGCAGTAAAAATGTATAATGTAAAGTGCTATCGATTTAGCGATACCTACGTTTAAATATTATAAAGTATTATCGATCTGAGCACTACTTTTAAATATTAAGGTAGGATGAAGCTTTCATTGTGAATACTGAAAAGTAATGTGTGTCTATCGAGTATTAAGCTCGAAGTGTAAATTTTTATTCTCTGTTTTCCTTCTACAGAAGTAAAAGGTGAAGGATTGGGAAGTATATAAGAGTATAAAATTCTTGCATAAGTGTTTTCTACTGTCTTGGCTTGTCTTCGCGTAGAACTGAGTCAGAAGGTTTCAATCATTTTTACTTCATGCGCCCTTTTCATCAATGCTAGACGATGAATCCTTTCCCCCTCCATTACAAAACTCGAAAATTAACGTTTATTTAAATTTAGATCATTTTTAAATATTTTTTTTTAAATTAAGCAAGAAAAAGTGCAGAAAATTTGATAAATACCTAAAAGTACTTTTTTATTCATAAAAGTACAAAAGTGCTTTTTTATTCATAAAATTAAAACTAAATACATAACAGGTAAATAAAGGCTAACCGAATCCCCCCCTGAAACTATGAAACTCCATCCTAAGGGTGAATTCCTCCCCTATGTGGAATTATGACTAGCAGTGATGCTGTCACTACTAGTCATGATATAATTCCCTATGACTTAGTAGTGATGTTATTATTGTTTGGCAATTATTATAAGGCATCTGATGAACATTATTGTATTTAGAAAATTTTAGGAAATAAGTCCTTGGAGGCGTGTGGAATTGTGATTTTTTACATTAATCGGGTCAATAGAAACTCCTAGAAAATAAACTTTTTGAGAAGTTTACCGACTTCTGTTTCATCCTACATCTGCATAAATAGGCAAGATCTTGATGTCCGTGTCTCCTTTTATCAGTTCTTCTGCCTTTGACGTTTGCTGATGAGCACTGTAGATGGATTATAAAACGGGTAACTAAGAATTACTAAACTAGATAACTAAATTTTATCCTCGACTGAAAACAATAGGAATTTCGGATATATATTTGAAATCGTGTATTTAGAATGATATGTATCTTTGAAGGCATGGACATACCGATTTCTGTAAAAGAAATCTCGTGTTTAATTTCGATAACAGCTTTCGAGTGGTTACTTTAATTTCTTGCCAGATAGTTGCAATTTGAAATTTCTCAGAGGAATTCTCTTTCAACTTATGGATCTATCGTGCCTGCTGTGGGGCTAAATGCTATAGGGATATGTTTTACACCTATGTACGTCCATGTGGCTAACGTTCGATAATATCGATTTATAAGCAGAAGGAAAAAGAGAAGAAAATCGATATCTCGCCAACCGATATTAAACCCCTATTCTAGCCCTGGTCTTGGCAAATGATACTTACAAGGGAATTTTATGACTTTCTATATGTACTATCCCGATTTTAGGATATTCTGCAACTTTCACTCCCACTATTTTATATTTTTACCCCTCATGCCCCCTAGGGAGTAAAGCGAACCCCCACCAAGCAATCATCAGCAGGGCACGTGGCCCCTCTGCACACTTGCAGTCATAACGTCGTCGTCAGAATTTGTTCTTTTGTGCGAATATTGGAAAGTACTTCAAAACAGCTTTAGGTCGGAGAGGAAATTACTATTCTGAAGAGGCTAGGAGCTGGAATTTTTTTCCCGCGCTTCTTTTCTAACGCTTCCCTTACCCGAAATACTCGTGCTATGTTCTTTTGTGTGAAAGAACGTAGTTTTATATTTTTTATCTAATTTTTTTCTTTTATATCTTCTCTGTATATTGCGTAATACTGTGTTATTTAAAGAGAGCATAAAGTAGTTTTGAACAGTGCTTCGTAGTTTTATTGTTATTAGCACCGAATGTTAAAGCTCTGTTTTCTTTTATGATCTTTTATTTTTATTGGACAGTGAAAAACTGACGTGTACGATCCTGGCGATATATTTATCATTTTGCAAGTTTAAAAACATTTAATAATGTGAAAGAAAGTTCAAAATGTTTATATTTT